CGGTTCAGTTAAGAAACGTAAAAAGATTGCAACTGCGGACAAGATATTGAAGCTAGAACAAGAAAAGGTTTGAAATTTATATAATGAACTAAATATAAAAGTAAAGAGAAAATTTTCTCTATGAGCGTATCTAAAGCATTTCTTATATTTTCCAGGTAAATCAAATGAGGAATATGAATCGCATTTCAGTCACGGGTAGTCATGTACCTAAATTAATATTAGAATTTGATGAATTAAGAACAAGTTATCAAGTGCCAGTAAACTTAATGAAAAATATGAAAGACAGTGGATACATGATTCCAACACCGATACAAATGCAAGCAATGCCAGTTATGTTAGAGGTAAAAAAAAAACTAATGCTTACAATAAGATTATAATTAATGTTACAGATATTTTAGTGTTTTTTTTTCTATTGGTAATAGGGTAGACAAATACTGGCGTGTGCTCCAACAGGATCGGGGAAAACTGCAGCATTTCTGTTACCTATCATTCATAGCTTACGGGGACCACAAAAAAAAGGTTTTCGTGCTATTATTCTAAGTCCTACGAGGGAATTGGCCAAACAGACATATAGAGAATGTCTAAAATTGAGTGAAGGTTATGACTTTAGAATTCACATAATTGGCAAAATAAATCAAGCTCTTACCAAATATGGACCCTCAAGCTCGCAAAAGTTTGGTGAGTGCAATAGATGCAAAGATTTGATAGAAATTTCTGATCTTTTATTTTTGTTTAATAAATTTGTTTGTTTTAGATATTTTAATTACCACACCAAAGCGATTAGTTTTTCTTTTAAACCAAGATCCTCCAGCCATTTCGTTAAGCAAGTATGTCTTTTACAAACAATTATAATCCATTGAATAATTATAATCAGAATTTTTTTAGGTTCAATAATATTGGTCTGTTTCTATTTTTTCAGCGTGGAATGGTTGATTGTGGACGAAGCTGATAAGCTTTTTGAAGATGGAATACGCGGATTTAGGGAACAATTAGATGAAATTACAAGAGCTTGCACTAATACAGATTTACGTCGGGCTATGTTTAGTGCGACAAACACACCCGCGGTTTCAAAATGGTGCCGCCGTAATATGAAAGGACTCATAACAGTAACAGTTGGACACAGGTATGTTTAATGCCATTTATCTTGATAAATTTTATTAAAAAAGTGAAAACTATTAATGTAACTTCTTTTTTCTATTTATTGTAGAAATGCAGCTACAGATATGGTGGATCAAGAAATCTTGTTTGTTGGGAATGAACAAGGCAAATTGTTGGAATTTAGAAACATGATTCGGAAGGTACAATCAATTTATAATTTAATTGCAATACTTTATTACACTTTGAAGATAATGTGTGATTATATATATTTTTTAATTATTAACAAAGGGTATATCACCACCGGTCTTGGTATTTGTGCAAAGTAAAGAGCGGGCTCAAGAGCTTTTCAATGAACTTATATACGATGGAATTAACGTGGACGTTATTCATGCCGATAGGACAACGACACAGGTATAGTTAACAAGAAAACGCTCTCGCGCGCGTAATTGTGTTAGTAAAATTATAATCACATTGATCACTATTATTCCAGCGAGACAATATCGTACGTTGCTTCAGAGAAGGACAGATCTGGGTCTTGATCTGTACAGAACTGATGAGCAGAGGTATAGACTTTAAAGGCGTAAATCTTGTTATAAATTACGATTTTCCGCCGTCCGCCATCTCCTACATTCACAGAATAGGTAATATATCCAGTGAATTTAGAACAGCGTTGTCCCGTTTATTTGAATATGCGAAACATCGCAGGTCTGAGGTCATTCTTCTTTCCCTTCCTGCTATTGTTAAGCATACTCCAAACAGCAACTTTGCCTCCTCTTTTGACGTTGTGAATTATTTTGCGTATTGGTAGTACGAACAATAAAGAAAAAGGTCACGTTCTCTCAATGAATATAAAGAACGATGGTTATCGATTTGTAGCTACCGCTGTAGCGGTAAGACAGTATTTTCGCGTAATATCACCGAGGGTGTGACTGTTGGAAAAACGGGACGGCGCTGATATATAAAGATGGCGATCTTCTCATTTCTGAACTCGTTTTCCGAAACAGGTCGTACCGGCCGCGCCGGTCACAAGGGAAAGGCCATAACGTTTTTCACTCGACAGGATACAGTGAACTTGCGAAGGTGTGTGTTATTCTTGTATCCCTTTTGTATGTATTACAACGAAGCAGTAATAAATAAAATATCGTGCGCTCTTTTCTCTTCCAGTATCGCGGCAGTTATGCGAGCATCCGGATGCGATGTGCCGGATTATATGCTGGCTATGAAGAAGCACAATAAGAAAGAACGACGCAAGCTCGAACATACGGCACCTACACGTGAAAGGATATTAACCGTCCCCATGTACAAGCAACGTAAGCGGAAATCTCTCGAAGTCGAAAAGAAATCGAAGCTAGAGAAGGAAACGTAGAAGTGTGAGTACGATAATCGTTAATATGGCCTTTTCACAAGACATTGTGAAATAAATGTAAGATCTTTCTGTAAAAGAGAACAATTATATATTTAAAAAAACGTATTTGTATAAATGTAAAGGATCTTGGAATTTCAAAGACTATGTAAATAATTTATTCGTATATAACAATATTTATGGTTTTATGTAATATTTTTACATGTAAATCCCTTTTAAATATGATACATTACTTTATTGCAAATCCTTAACAATTATATATGCTTTTTAAGTAATAATATAAATTTTATCAAAATATACTTTGTCATGGACTTGTATCTGAACTGTATCCAGAGATTACTTTGAAATTCTGTTTTGGAAGAGCTAGAAATATTATCACATTGCATTACAGCACTATAATTGACATAAGTATCAGTATAATGTCATCAGTATAATGTACGTTTTTCCAAAGGCACGAATCAATATCCCTAACAAAAGTATCTTTTTTTTTTTTATTACGCATTTTCATTTAATTACACTTTAGCAAACCTCACTAGTGTTTATAACGTGATCTATGTTTCAAATAGCCAATCACATGGTAATTTTGGCATTTTATTTGCTGGCCATGGAAGATATCCTGCTGTCTTGAATATCCAATAGTCATACGACACTTTGGCTATCAAGCCTATTAGAAGTATCACCTCGGTAGCAATAATATAATATATATAATCTGTCCAGTCTCCCGGATATACACACATCTTTGACGGCTCTAGATCAATAACTTTTTCCTTTACATTTTCGCACATTACTTCATCGGAGTCCAATATTCGTGTTTGCAACCATGCCTAAAATGAAAGAAAATGAAGATTATTCTCTTTGTAGGATTACATCTTATATTTATGTATGCATAATTTTTTATTTTCTTATAAAAATCACCTTTAAATGCTTTGCAGTATTACAGTCACAATGCAATTTATTGCCTCCTAGTCTGACCAGATTTCTTGAACTCAGGAAATTCTTATGATGTGCGCTTGGACTTAATATGTATGTTGGCAGCTAAATATGTTACATATATTTAGAATGAGCATTTGATATCATTAAAAAATTAAATATATTTTTTATACTCACTGATTTAATTTTATTGTATCGTAAGCTCAGCAAAGCATAATTATCCAGAAACTTAGAACCCTCCAGCTTGTTTATCGAAGAAATATTATTATAATCTGCATAAAACTCTCGTAGATCTTCGTAACATGGATTAGTACTCAGATCATCTAGAACGGTGATCTGAAAGGAAAATCCAGAGAACAATTTCCTTTACATTGAAATTAATTGATATGCAGTATATTACGAACGTACATTATTATAGGAAACATTAAGTGCTATTGTATTTTGTGGCAATTTCTCGGGTAATTCTGTCAATTGCATTCCACTGCAGTCAACATTTACAGCGTGAGTAGGTGGCTTGCCTTCGATAATATCCAGTCTTTTAATATCACATTGACATTGCCAGTTATCACCTTTTGGACATTCCGTTTGCAGCTGAAGGTCAAAACTAATTCAGATTATCTCATGTGAAATCTTACAATATTACATACACATACATATATATATATATATATATATATTGAAACATACCGAACTGAGGTAAAGCACTTGTGTAAGAGGTACGCGTTCGGTGGTGTTGAACCAATGCCATGTCGCTAAGGAAGAACACACTGTCTCATTTTCGCGATTAAAAGTGATTTGCTTTTCGCCCGTTTTATTGATATATTGATATACGTCATGGCATGAAAGTGTATTTGTTGTTCCTGTACAAAAAAGGATAGTATGTTAATATAAGTATCATTTAAACAAGAGATGTACCACCACATAGAGCTATTTTACCTGAAATATCTAGCCAGAATTCCCGACCGTTCATCGTATTCAAAGCTGGAAGGTGAGTCAGTTTATTATAAGATAAATCCAAAGTGGTGAGCTGCGCTAATCGTGTCAGCGAATTATTTTCTACCTCCATCAGTGCATTATTAGAGAGATTCAGGCACTGTGTGGGCGTCATCATGAGAAATTGCCCCTGTACCTTCCTAATTTTGCCATCGGTTATGGCTAGGGATTTCAGCATCCTCCAACGAGTTTCACTTGCGTTAAATGCATCCAAAGTTGCATTACGTATATGTACATAACTTATATTTGAATGTAGAAATTCTAAGGCATAAGATAAAAATAGTAATGATAATATTCCATGTAAGACCTTTTTGTATGTAAATTTATGTTGTTCAAAAGAGGGAATTCAAAAGAGATTTCCTGCATAATAGTGCCTACCTATGCAAGCAAGACCTTTCTCTAAAGCCTGTTCATCTGTATTACAACAAAGTGCAGCTATGCTCTTGGGTTCATTCGCGAGCGTGATTCTTTTGCAGCGACATTTGTCAGAGTCAGGACAGTCTATTGGTTGTCTGTAAAAACATTGTTCTGGAAGAGAATTGGAAGCTCCATTCGACGCCTGCTGTTGATCTTCCTCCTCTGTACGTGCACTGACTACTCCAGCATATAGGCACATTATCATGGCTAACCACTGCATCTGCATCTGGATAGGATCAATTATTGTAAATAGCTGCAGCTTTCAATATTTAATCAGCTGCTTTTAAAAGCGCAAAACACGATATAGTTTACCTTTAGCGTTAATCGCTTCAGCGTATAATCCGCGTCTGAACAAATGATATGATTCCTTAATAAATTAGTTTGTACAGAGCGCTATTCTATATAGCAGCGATGCGTTGTTTGCGAGAGAGCGCCGTGTAATTAGCGCGATGTAACAGCGTGTTTTCCTCGGGTTATAATTCAATGAGCGTACTTGATTACTCGCAGAGGCCTCACACTATCGGGTAGCACAAACGAATTAATTCATTTAACCACGGTCTCACTCAGCCACCTCAGGTCGCTCGGGTTGACCTGTTGATGACTCGAAATTGCTCGGTCGAGGGTTCGCGCGCGTTCATTACACTCTCTTGATGCGTGCGAGTGCGTCAATTACGCGACAAACGGGAAGGAGAGAGGCGACCGCGCGTGTATGCGTTGTTATCAGCTTATCGAAACGATCGCGGTTCATTATCGCACCACGCGCGAAGATGGATCTGTTCTTTATAACTGAACTGGATACTGGATACACTAGTTCAGAGTTTATCTTTCTCCTTCCAATGAGGAGAGAAAAAGATAAACTCTCAACTAGTGCAGCCAGTTCACCTATAAAGAACAGATTTTATATATCATATGCGTCGTTTATATACGCGTATTGTGCGTGTATCAACGGCAATATGAAATATGAATCGTACTCGGAAGGTCGCACCTTCTACGAATCGCAGAATATTTTGCATAAATATTTCATAATTGCTTTTTTGGCACAATACATATTGACGATCCAAAGTGTGCGTTTTTTATCATTTCGAAAATAATAAAGGAGTACATTCGCGACGCATGATAAACCTTTTTAATACGCTAGATATAAATCTTACAATTCACGATAATCTTGATATTTTGTAAATATACACATATTTATATTTTCTATTTTTGTGATATAATTTTGGTAATTTTTTTAAACTAGAAATCATAGGGGATTTGAATTAGAGTTATAATAATTGGTTTCGCCATTTTTGATCGGAAAGAATCTCAGCCAATCAATGAAAAGTCGAGAAGTTATGTTCGAGAGACTTCAATGAGAGACCTCTATCATTTGTAGAACTTCTCGTCAATCTTGATGGGAAAAAAAAGAGAAAAAAATATGATAGAAAATCCTCGTCTCCAGTAAACGTCAAAGAAACGTCAAATTTGAGACAATGTCGTAAAATTTACTCTATTTGCTCGCGATAAGATTCGGCCTATCGACGTCGTTTAATAATATCAGATATGGATACGTGCCGATGTGGCACGATTGGCGATACCACGAAGACGAAGACGAAGACGAGGACGAGGACAACGACGAGGACGGATGGCCAGTTTATAACCTAAAGTCTCGTATTCGTGTGTGCGATTATCGCCTTTTTTTCGTGATGTAATATATTATTAACAGAGGAGTACAGCGGTATGTTGAAGCACGTAACGATGGACGACACATACGAGCTGAACTTGAAGAACGTAGTCAGCTGGGTCGCATCCAGTGCGTTAATTTTCGGCGCGGTTATACCGTACATACCGCAATACAAGGAGATCAAGAGGAAAGAGGACGCGGAAGGATTTTCCCTCTACGTTTGTCTCACCCTTTTAATCGCCAACACGCTTCGTATATTATTTTGGTTTGTACTTGCAAGACGCATGTTTTGTCAGTGTATTCTTTCGTTGCATTTTCTATACATTTTGTATTTCTATTGATCACACGATAAGAATAAAATATATCGAATAAGATATTCTTTACGTACTATAGTCTGTGTTCTTATGGCAGGTTTGGTAAACATTACGAGCTTCCACTTTTATTGCAAAGTTTACTCATGATTGTGGTGATGTTTGTTATGATTAAGCTCTGTATTAATGTGCAAAACAGGACGCAAATAATCAAATCGAAAGAGCGTGTACTTACAGGTGAGTGGAATTTTATTATTGAAGAAATTTAACATACAGTAATATATGTATACATATTTACGAATGATTTTTTTATTTTGCAGATTTGGACGCTAGATTTTTTTGGAAGTGGACAGATTTTAAGTCCTATCTGGGTTTTATGATTCTATTTGCCAGTATAGGTGGCTTGTTAACGTATTTATTTATGGATATTCCAACGTTTATCGAAGTTGTTGGGTTCTTAGCGGTATTGATAGAGGCTATGTTAGGAGTTCCACAATTTCTTCGTAATTCGTCTAACAAATCGACTGTAGGGATGAGGTAAATGAGAGGATTAGATAGAAAAAAAATGCAGTATGTATATTATTTGTTGTATTATGAGAACCAAATTAATTAATTTTGTTTCAATTTCAGTATAGCTATGGTGGCAATGTGGACTGTGGGAGATATTTTCAAAACGTGTTATTTTGTTTTGAGAAACACACCCGTGCAATTTCAGGTGTGCGGTGCTCTCCAAGTCACAATTGATATCGCTATTTTAGCACAAGTGTACCTTTATAAGACTAATAACAATGTACATGCAAGAGCTCCCATAAGATCAGACTGAAGATTGTTTAACAAGTTATTTCTCATCTATATCTATAGATGCAGATTTTTTATTTGTCATTGCTGAGAGATTTAACAAAACCTAAAAAGAATATATTTTTATATTGAATAACCTCGAGAATCGAGGTATATTTGAAATAGACAAAGTTTCCTAAAATTTACCAAACAAAGTACAGTTAATATTTTGATAACGATTTAATACATATAAAACAATGTGTATATATATATATATATTATTCTTTTATAAGATTTATATTTAATACATTAATATTATATATTCAATGCATTAAATTAAATATTACTAAGTAAATATTACATTTTGCGCATTATATTAAATTGTATATATGTATTTCCACATTTTTTAATGAGAATATACAGACGAATGGCGGGAATTTAACACGTGTCCGTTGCTTAGCAACAAATTGTCAACAAAAAACTTCGTGAATGGGCAGACATGGCATAGCTTCCATCTAAGGAAAGAATGGCAAATTTTTAACGTTTTACCGAATCATTTTATATCGTCCAAAATTTTTTAAGAGGAAAAGTAGCTTCTTCGTGTTTTAATAATTATTTCTCATCAAATCATAATTACTGAAAATTGTATATCTGAATTTTTCATCAGAAATGACAAGATGCATGAGAAAGGAGGTTAATCTAAAGAGCAGTAGTGAGTATTTATCAAGTCGCGTAAATATTTCGACTTGCATAGTCGGAATGTTAAAATTGTAAATCGTTATTTGCAGCCTATAATCAAACGGGAGAGAGATATTTGCAGCAATTGGCGGCGTACAATTCAATGAGCATACATTTACGACGGATTTTATCGGCAAAAAGCGTTATCGATACGAGAAATAAAAATTACTTGTTGAAGAAACATCAGCCGTGCAAAGTACAAGAAACCGGCGATAAGAGAGTCTGTTCGCACCCGGCAGTAATAGACGATGTGATCAATAGATTAGCCTATGATACTCTACATCATCCAATGGTAAAGTTCAGCATATTTAATTAGCATACAAGCTCTGAGAAATTACAACTTGAAAAAATGATGCGTAACGATTTTTCAATTATTAATTGCGTCTGATTTCGAAAATTATGAGACGTTCAATAATAAACAATGATTTTAAGTAGGTAATTTTAAATTTTGATACAGGATATATTAAGAATAAATTTAAATTCGAAGCATCCGGATTGTTGCAATTACAATTTAGATCATCAGCAATCGAAAGTTTGTAGTGGCCGAACGTGTTGCGAAGAGAACGAACAAATGGGTCATCGATCGACTTCGAAAAATCGTAGAACGGTGTCACCGGCGACGGCACGTTCACCGAAACGTAAAAAAGTTAAGACGAATTCTGTTAGCGGAAAAGAATTGAAATGCGTGCGAGAGATTTCTCATATAATCGATCCATGTTATTCGCAACAGAGGTGAGATCGTGTTAAACATTAAAGTTTCGTGCTACTATATATAATTTACGCTTTGGCTTTCAAAATTTTCCATTTCTTTTCACAATTTTCCACGCGCTCTTAAAAATTCGTAGTATTTGCATTCAAGTCGAATTGTTTATCTCTTTTTTTCTCACTCTTGTAGAAAATGTGGGTATGAGAAAGATTCGTTCTTCCCTTGCACAACTACTGCATTAGGTTCATCAGTATTTAAATCAGGATCTCAATCCCTGATGCAAGAAATGATCGATCGTCGCTCGATATCCTCGAATGCCTCACAGTGCTACGATTATGATTGCGACGACCAATCCATCGAATTAAAGCACGTCTCAAAACAACTCTTATCCCCCAAAAAGGAAGAGAAGGAATATGTCAAATTTATCTACGACATTACCAAAGAAATAATAGAGAAAAGTCTTTATACCGATAAAGAACTGCGGAATGTATTCAAGAAGCATATCGATCTATATAAAGGAATATTAAACATGGTATGAATAATAATGTGTTACCACCGTATAAATGAGAAAAAAAAAGTAATGTCTCTCAATGTCAGTATCTTACAACTTAAAAAAAATTACCGACAACTCTCAACATTTATTATGATATTTTTAATTCGGTCTTATTTTTCACAATATAAAAGAATTTTAGCAAAAAGTTTTGTATACATTTTTTTTCGCTCTAGAATAAAATGCTGTATGAGATTTATCAGTTAAAAATCTCCTTGAACATGACGGACGATTCAGACACGGACGACGAACTGGAGGAGTTGATCAACGCGCAAAAATTGTTGAGCGTATCGGAGATTAGGCCACCCACACCGCCGAAAGTTTTAGATGACAATAAAGTGATGGAGAAGCTGGAATCTTATCGGAAAATGACTGAGAGATCGCAAGAACAATATCGTCTGAAGTCAGTGACGTTGGTCGATGCGAATCCCGACCTATTCGTCACGGAGAGAGATGTGCTAATGTCGTTGGTGGAAGTGGGTATCGATCCCAAACAGGTTCAACATATATGTAAGAATCTGCGCTACAAGAGTAGAGACACGGTAAGATAATTTGATGAATTCCTTACATTATCAAAATAACGTTCGCTATCTCCTATCTATTTATTGTTAGATGCAAACAACAGATGCGGAAGTTTCATATCCTTTGAACTTGGAAGTGAACGATTTAGAGGAATTGCGAAATAACGACAGACAGATTTCTCCCGAGGTCGAAACAGTTAAGAGCGTCCACAATTTTGTCGCGGATAATTCACCCTCGTCTTTGGAAGAACAGGATGCCAATTCCTATGCGAATTTAATGTCCGCACAACAGGAGACAATTGAAACTGAAAAGGAGATAAAATCTGAAACTAAACTCGAAAATGACAAAGTGGACTCGTGAACTGAATTGTTAAATATTTTTGTGTTTTACCGGAAACTCGTTTCTATTTCTGTTACCAAGAAACATTTGATTTCAATGCAATGATCGTTATAATATCGCTTTTGTACGTATATAATGCTTAAGTAACTTATTGCGTTAACAATGAAATAAACATTGGATATGCAATTTTTAATTCATGCAAAAGAATACGATTCGCTTGTCATTTAACGATACGCCGATTTTACTAATGTAGTATAGGAATCGAGATATACACACTAATTATCATCTCATCCATGTACACGTTTCTTTTATTCGTATATATATTTCTTTTCTTACATCGAATTTCACCATATGTCTGCGTGAGAATCTGTCGCATTTCGCAGTTGAATTCTCAACAGAGGTAAAATATACACAGTGAAAAAATAGACATATATATTTATACCTGTACATATACAACCTCTTTTATGCATATCTATGTACAGATATACAAATGTTACACGTTTGTACAGCAGGAGATCTCTACATGATACATCATTTGGATATATCTTTAATGTATATATTATAGCGTAATTTTTTCTGCTAAAGAGAGACAGACTAAGATAGCTGCATACGGTATATGTTATGCACTTTGTTCGCTTTTTTACAGTTACTGGCTCTGCTTGTGCATTCATTTTGTACACGAGTTTCATCCCCTTTATCAGGCATAACTGAGGTATCTTACAGTTATTTAACATCGAGAAGGTAACTAAAACATATCTCATTTGATATCTACCTGCGATAGATTTCAATAAAAGAATAAATGTCAACTACGAATATAATGGCGGTGGTTCTTTCGTCACCTATATGCAAAAACAAGTTATATAAAATGTTAAATATAACATTATCAAAATAAATTGTATTTATTTTCGAGCTACATGTTTTCATATTCAATTATATTATATTATATGAATTGGGAACTCTTTGTACTATGCATTGATATTCTCAGTACAAATAAACTAATGTATTCTATAAAAATTCGTTAAAAATTAACAAATTAGAGAGACTCTGTAAAATTAATACTACGTTTTTTTCAAATTAATATAACAAAATGTCTAAAAATTTAATCTATTAGTTATTCTACAGAAAAATACATGAAAACATATACACTCGAAAAAGAAAAAAAAACATATAATACATATATATGTATATAACGTATGTGTGTTAACACACACATAACTTAAATTACATCTCGTTTAGCAATTGCTTATAAGTATTGAGTCGTTTTTTATAGAGTTAAAAAAGATTAATACGACACATGCACCCACTCATTAGCTACCATCGGACGCGTTTGAAGAAGAATCTTCGAGTTCCGGCGCGTTTGGACTCCTGTCCAATATGCGCACGAGTTCTGTTACGTGTCTTATTGTAAATTCTGGTTTGGGATCGTCTCCTGAAAGACGAGGTTTATCTGCGATGGGTATCCACACAGTCCCGCGTAATCCAGCCTCAATACCACCTGTATATCGATAATTTTACAGCTCGTTATAATCTAGCTTTTGTTTTCTTGTAACACATGTGTTTTTAAACTATTTCTCTCTTCCCCTCTTTTTGGATGATAACGAAATTATTAAAACAAATTGTTAAAAGTTTTACTACCTAAAATATCCGTCTCCAGTTTGTCACCGACCATGATGCATTCCTCGGGTCTCACGTTCAGAAAGTGGCAGGCCTTATGAAATATTTCCGGCTCCGGTTTCTCCCACGGCAAATCAGCGGACACCAGGATAACGTCGAAGTACTGTTCTAGTGACAGTTTGCGTATTTTCTCCCACTGAGCATTCGACGGGCCATTGGTTATCAGGCCCAGTAGATATTTCTTTCTTAACTGACGTAGCATGGAAACCGTATTCGGCGCCAGCATCATGTAATGGTATCTTAAATAAAGCCATCTTTCGTAAATCCTTTTCGCCAAGGGCGAGTATTTGTCACCCAGCGCCTTGCTCCAGAGAATGGTGCGCCAAGCATCCAGAGTAAGAGTTGCGTTGTCCGGACATTTTCTGAATTGCTTCAGATATGCGGATGTTATCTTGGCAGATACGTCTTCCGGGATGCCGTAATCCCGTGTCAATTCCTCAGCAAGCTGCAGGTAAATATATATGCAATAAGAATCGTGAGCTATCTTTCAGAGTCCAATGTTTTATGATAATAAAGAATGACGAAAATGAAGAACTGAAAATGTGAAGAGAGAGATGAAAGAATAAGATTTCCACACTCAATAAAAATGTGCATAAATCAACGTGTAGATGACTCTCTTGCTTATATCGTATAGTAAAAATTCTCCCTTCCCGTTAAAGGAAAAGAAAAAGATTAGAAGTGTTAGCGAGAGAGAAGTGATTTCCTAATAGATAAAGTATAAAGTAGTAGAAATGTGAATAGACGAATATTGAATGTGGAGTTCATTAATCAACGAAGGTCTCAGGATGACAGGATACAGTATAGGAATATTTAGGGCACTTAATTCATTATTAATGATTACCTAGAAAATGCATTGATTCATTGAAATACTCGAGCCGATTAGTGGACACTCGAAGTGGCACCCGCGGACACGTTGCTGTAATCACAACAAAATCAGTTGTGCCAACAACAACAACAACATCACATATTATTTCCAAACCCTATAAGATGTGGTTAAAAGATTTCTGGATATTGAGAAACATGGCTTTAGAAATGAATCATTTAATGTCTACATAGATAACAGTTGTGTCTATTTATATGAAATTGTCTCTGATATCCAGTAATCTTTCTTTAATATCTTTGTTAAAAATAATTTCATTAAAAGAAAATGTGTTATACAGGTATCAGTGATAGAGTGGATGATGGAGTGATGAAATTAAGCAAAACGTTTAAAAAATTTTTCCATTTAATAGGAAAGTGTTTTTCTGTCATTACAAAATCTCTTGTCACGTCAAAGCATTTTAAAATCATAGTAATATCAACACAAACAATCTCCGCAATGTACACAGCAAAATAAAAAAAAAAATATATACTTGATTACAACTCATAGACAAACCAAAATGTACGTAAAGAATCGTGTAAAATCAAGTAATATACCTTCGTATATGCGCGAAGTCAAATGAGACGTTTCTTTCTTGCTTGCCAGGAAACTATTTCCAGACGTGATGCTGTCTAAATTTACACTGGACTATGTACGCATACGTATTTCGAAGCGAGAGATAGATATAATACTAAACTCAAATAAACGCAAAATATTAGAAAAGCTACTTACAAAGCTACTTTTTTGTACAAAAGTTGAATTAAATGTCCGTCTCTCGATTGATTAATTCCAATGTTATATAAAATTTTTTTACATTATTCGCGCAATACAAAAATCAATAAAAGCTACGTAATAGTAACATTTTCAGTTTTAATCCCCGAAAAGACGCTTTCCAAGCTCCATCATGCGATGATTCCGACAGACGATTAACGCGCCGCTCTTTTTCAGCACCGGCGCGACGCTGTCGTCGGCCTTTTCCAAGTGGCATAGCAGATCCTCGAAGGCGGACTTGACGTTCGGCTCCAGACCACCGATCCTCACTCGCTTCAGCGTTTCAATGATGTCTTCCACCCAGCCGGACTCTACCGTGAACTGCGACAGCCAAGGTATCACTTGCAACACACCAGCCATCGTCTGCATACCCAGAAACCAGAGTTCCATCAACTCCATCCAGTGTTCCTTGTATGACATGGAGACTACAAGCTCGGTAGGGTCGTTGCTCTCATCGATGATGTACGCATCCCACAAGAATCTTATGGTGGCCTGAATGTAACGGCATATGGAGAAATCATTCTTCTTAATACGTTTCGCCTGTTGCTTCATCAGCAATAGACCTAGAACTGCCAAGTGACCGTGCAGCACGAGATTCTCCGGGATCTGTTTCAACTCCGGCAGATTATTGTAGATGAACTTCAGCAGTGAGACGAACGTCGGCGACTCTTCTACCAACTTGGATTCTAGCACGGTGATGTTCATCAGGACGTTACAGATGGACACCATCGCGGTTCTGGAGTCCTTCATTTCCTCCAAAACATGCAAATCCAGCTCTTCCGTACGATTTCCATCTTGCAGAAGTTTTAGACGCTCCGATCTCGGCACCGGTGGCTTCTTATAGTGCACGATAGTCCAATGATAAGATAGGCACTCGAACAGAACCTCGTCCTGCTTGTGCTGAAGGAGAATTTTCCTGGCGGTTTCTTCCACGGCCAGATAACATAAAGCGGGCAACAGCAATCTCAGTATGTCGACCTCGCTCATTGGATCATGAACGATCGGTTCGCCGGTCGATGTCCCTTCGTCCGCTTTAGCCTTAGACTTGGCCTTCTCAGCCATCTTTCTGTTTCGATGAGCATAAAAAGTATCGTTGGCAACCGTCAATACATACGGTAACACGGCGTAAACTTGAGGACGCATCGCGCTCGTTTCTTGCGCCAGCCAAGCTGTAAGTACCCGGACAAGGGCGCATACAAAAATCTTTTCTTTCACATCTGTTAACGCCTTCATCTTCGACACGGAGCTTAACAGACCGATAACTGCCGCGAAGGCGCCCTTCAAGGCAGTGTACAATGACTGTTTTTCCTTCTGTTCTAAATCCAGCTGATCCGTAACGATGTAGCTGATCGAAACCTCGAGAATGACAAAGCATGCCGTGATCAAATCGGCGTTAGCGACCACAGTCCTGAGCTGTTTGTCCTCCAACTGCATCCTGACTTCGATCGATGCCAATTGAATGAGTAATAGGAAATAAATCTTTGGTTTCTCCTTGTCGGCCATGGCCCAATCCGCTCCCAACAAATCCATCATCACAGATGTGAGTTTCAAGGCTGGATCGCGCTGCTTCTTGCTTATTTTCGATCCTAGAATATCGCTCAGGCCTTTGTGAATACTTAGCGGCCAAGATTCCTCCTTCGCGGTTGGGAAAGAAATCACATCCTTCCTGCAAGATTGCAATAGAGCCTGCAGGATGGTGCACAGCTCGAATTTCCTCTCCGTGTGATCGGTTTCGAAGTCCAAGGCTATTTTGTTCATTATCGTGTGGAAAGGTGCGGTGTCTGTCGAATCCCAGGCTTCCGGCCCGAAATTGTTGACCAACGTGACGAGGATATTCAACGCCTCGTCTGTTTGAAAGCTCTTCTCCGCGTATATGTCGCACATCTTTGGAACAGCTTTCTGCTCGAGCAACGCTTTTTGTCCAGGAGAATGTTGCGCGATACATTGCAAGCAAGTATAGGCTTCACTGACGATGATTAGCGTGTCGTCAGGCGCGTCCTCGTCAGCCTGCGACACTATCTCGAGAAGTGCCGGGATATGTCCCACCATATCCGGATGAGAGGCCAGCTCGGGTTCTCGGCAGAACGCGGAAAGGACGGACAATGCCACAGATTTGTATACCTGTGGCGGACAGTCCATGGGTACGCTTTTGGTAGACAGCAACTTTCTGAGGAACTTCGCTCCGATGGCTTCGAAGAGCATCCTTTTGGCTGCGGGAGTACAATCCTTGGCGTCCACGAGCTTGGTGACCATAAACAGCGCGGCAAACTTCTCCGAGTCTGTATCCACCGCCTTTAATACGGCCACGCATTTTGCAACGCCCTCCGGTATACTCATAATGTCCTCGATTATTACAGCAAAGCAAAAAAAAAAAAAAAAAAAAAAAAAAAGAAAAAAAGAAAAAAGAGAAAAAGACGAGACGCCTGTCTTCAAGTTGAACACCGACGATGCGACGTGCGTTTTTTTATATTACTTTTTCAGCGCGACGTATCACGATATCATCGATGATGTGTCACGACGTAGCGAGAAGAGACTTTCGGAAACGTCTGTCGTTCTCTGGTAGGCGTCACCGGCTATCGCGTATATCATCCGTCGAGTAGCATAGTCGAGAGCCAACTGGCAGAGCTCCCGGAGAACGGCCCTCTCGAGGCTGCCTAGCCTTGCCCTTTGACACACTCACCAAGGCGGCCAAAAATAACCGTCGAACGATCGCACACGCGTGGAACACACGTGCATGTTTCGCAGGCCGCAGTTGCTCCTGTCGTTCAAAGTATTCCTTGGAAGCGCCGATATCGGGAATTCCGGTCGATGATAACCTCAAAATTATCTTCCGACCAAATAATGTCGGAGCGATACCTCCCGCATGCGTCCTCTAGAATCTCATCGATTATTTACTCATCTGTGATCTTTAACAGAGCGATATTCTCTTACGATAAATTCTGTTACGCGATCAAAAGAGAAATATCTTAAATCTTAAATAGGTTATACGCAAAACACATACCACAAGGCGTGACTAATGTCCGCGCGAACTTTGCCCACGCTGCGGAATTTTCCACGAGTCAATGTCAATTTTTAGCTGCACTTTCTTGCACCTTTTGCATATATATACATTCGCGTTAAAGTTACGAGCAGAAGATGCAGCTAAAACGAAAAAAGATTATCCTAGGACCCTGGAGAGGGTACAAGACGACGATGCCGAAAATAGCCGCCGCACCGTAGAAGAAAGCGGGCTATATCAGGGAGTCGGCTCATATTACACGCGAGGAGGAGGGGTAAAAGGATACGACTTCTATTCTTGCGACATGTCACGATGCGAGTATCCATATATACATACGTAGGTAGGTAAACGTCGTGGGAGAGTGCGACTTGCGCGTGTAAAGCAATGCTGCGAATACACGCTCGCGTTATCTCTCGCAGCAACAGCTGTAGCAGCGGGATTTAATATTATTCGCGAGAAAAATACCGAGAGCGAGTCACGATTGGGGGGTGGAGATTTGGGAGAAGGGGGGAGGAGAGCGAGGGGGAGATTTAAGGTTAGAAGTGTGTCTCTCGTACCTTGCGACAAGCCTGATTGTCCACCTTCCTGGTTTCCACCAGTGTATTGTCCAGGTCGAAGAAGATTGCGCTCAAAGATAAGAAGGATTGCTGATTGTGTTGTCTGCGGAACAGAGTTTCCATCGCTATTTCTCTAGGACTGTAGCTTCCGATCGACTGCGCTCGTAAAGGACACGTGATTGTGTCTTTCATAAATTGTAATGTCATCGACTTAAGAATATATAGACAGCATTAGCTAGCCTATATTGATATGAACAAATGATGATGGGGTGGTGGGAGACGCCACTGACGTCGTGGTCGTAGGTCGCATTGTAATTAGAAATAAAACTAATCTCTAATCTATATCAGAGACTTAAATAAATAGTGCGCTCCCATTGCAGGTAATAAAGATAACATTAGTAAAAGAAGATAATACAGAGTCAAATGTTCTTTTCTAATCCGATTCAAATTAGATTGCTTGTCAAATTAGAAAAATATCTGATTCTCTTATTGTTTTCTCTTAACAATATTGTTTTTATACCGTCTATATATAAGTTTATGTGTTTTACACATCATGGAGCGTTGTTTACATATGTCCGAGCCATGCCAACAGAATTATTCGAAGCACATCGAAATCAGTGTAAATTGTATCAAGAATAACATGCTCCGTCTTTTCATATTATGGCTACGTTGAACACTTTATATTGTTTGGCCAGATAGGATGGAAACAATAGAAATATATCAAAGAAATACTGAAAGCTCTTGAAAGAAATTTCAACATTCTGAGGCCCATATCAGACAAAATAAAGTGCACCTCTGTCTGACCGCCATATTCGGTCAAGTATGTAGATTATTTACTGATTGGCTGACATTCTTTTCACTAAAAATGGCAGAACCAATCAGAACATTTCAATGTTGTAATCATAGCATAGACATAAGCTGGGAGACGCTAGAGATGTTTCGAAGTAATTGATTGACTAATCAGGAAAAAAGATTAAATATTTCTTTATCTGGTTGGTTAATACATATCCATGCGCATGCGCGAGGAAAAGCTTGCTAGAACACTTCATGTTGGTTCATGTTAAGGTGCCTTTACATGGCAGCGTCGAGCGTCTGCGTAGAAAATTGCGCAGAATCTAATTTCAGCCTAGAATCTATCTCTTTTAAATTCTGCGCATTTTTCTGCGCAGACGCTCGACGCTTAACGCTGCCATGTAAAGGTACCTTTATGCATGCCATGTGACATTTAAAGCTGCTTGGCGGTAAAGGTCAAAGCTTTTTGGCGTTAAGGTATTTTTCAGCAACAGCGCGATACAACATTTATCGTTAAAATGGTATCCACCGCGTCCACCGCGTCAACGGTGAACGTACAAACGGAGGATGAGTTGGACGAATATACTCCGGCGAAGTTGATCAAAGCACTAGAGGTAAGCGTCGCGCGAAATTAACTTAATCATGACATCATGCGTAACCGACAAAATGCTTTCATGTCCATACATGTTTGATTACATTCATTATTTTTGTTTTGTCTTTACACGTTACTTGTCACCGCACAGAAAAATGGCATTACAGCCGGGGATATTAAGAAGCTACAGGACGCCGGTTACTATACCGTTGAGTCGATAGCATATGCGCCAAGAAAGGATATCATAACGATCAAAGGTATCAGCGAGGCCAAAGCGGACAAGTTGCTGCAGGAAGCCTCCAAGATCGTTATGCTGGGCTTTAAGAGCGCCACAGAAATACATTCGACGCGTGCAAACATCGTTTACGTTACCACCGGTTCGAAGGAATTGGATAAACTGTTAGGTGGGGGAATAGAGACTGGCTCTATTACGGAGATCTTTGGAGAATTTAGATCAGGAAAGTCTCAGTTGTGTCACACCCTTGCTGTAAATTGTCAGCTACCAATCTGTATGGGTGGCGCAGAGGGAAGATGCCTCTATATAGACACAGAGAATACTTTTAGACCAGAAAGATTGATAGCGGTCGCTGAGAGGTACAAGATCAGTGGAAATTCTGTTCTCGACAATGTTGCTTATGCCAGAGCTTACAACACTGATCATCAGACACAATTACTAGTTCAAGCCAGTGCCATGATGACAGAAGCCAGATATGCTCTATTGATTGTTGATAGTGCGACTAGTCTCTACAGAACTGATTACAGTGGCAGGGGTGAGTTAAATGCTAGGCAAATTCATCTAGGGAGATTCCTCAGGATGCTACTGCGACTAGCAGACGAACACGGGATCGCTGTTGTTATAACGAATCAGGTAGTTGCACAAGTTGACGGCGCTGCTAGTATGTTTGGTGGCGATCAGAAAAAACCGATCGGTGGTCATATCTTAGCACACTCGAGCACAACAAGATTGTATTTGCGTAAAGGCAGAGGAGAAAGTAGGATATGTAAGATATACGATTCGCCCTGTTTGCCAGAAAGTGAAGCGACGTTTGCTATAAACCCAGATGGTATAGGTGATGTACAAGAATAAACTTGTTTAATCAAATAGCATAAAAACGCAATATATACAGAATGCGATTTATTCTTTTTATTAATTCATTTGACAAATGTTTTTCTTGCGCGAATTAAATATCATTATATATCTGTTAAAGAGAAATTAAAGGAATAATTGAAGGAGGGCGAGACAATAACAGTTCAATGGAAAGTTTAAGTCAATTATTAAGTTAATTAGAATTAAGAAGAAACTAGAGATGTACAGTATATGTTTCTTACTAATTCTATTAATATATCTTTCTTAAAAGACTCTATATGACATTGTAATATCTAAGGTTTTGATAAATATAAAGAATAATTATATAAGGCATTATTATATTTCATTTCTCTTAAGCAATTGCTATGGATTAAATTTTTAAGGAATAAGTAATTAATATTGCATTTATTCAGATAATTTATGATATATTTTGATAAATTTCATATCGTATATATGCATAAACGTTTATTAAATCTATCAACACTTGAAATTAGGAAAACTATATGCCATATCGCCGATTTAGATAATGCGAGCACTTTTGCCCCTAATTCATCATCCAATTTGTCCCCGTCCTATTCATCCCCAGTGCCATCTCCAACATACTTAATGGTATGTAAAATAACTAATGTAAACTCTGAATATATTGTATAAACAATATATGCGCTAAATAAAAGGGCGCGTGCGGTTTAATGATGCATTTAATTTAATATATAAAAATGATTTAAAATACTTTTTTTATATTTTTGTTCTTAAAGTTGAATATATTTATAAGTAGTTATATTCTTTATTCTCACAAATGTAAGTATCAAATAAAATAATGTTGCAAGATGTCTACATAAAATATTGTAAAAAAATAGATTTATTATAAAATATTGTATTGTTGATTTTTATATATCTCGTTAATTTGATTTGTCTAAAAATGGTGCATATTATTACATAATTCGTTATACATTATACAATTAACATATTTTTTATAGAGCTCCTGTTATGACAGATTTTCACAACATTATTAATTTACAAAGATGGAAAGTTTCTCACATTGTCCACACTAATCAATCCATAAAAGGACAACTTAATTTATGATTTATGTAATCGCTTTTTAGAGATCAAACTTTCAGGACACCGTATATTAAGTTAGTTTTTCTTTTATTGGACCGCGTTCGAAAACATTACCCGTGTGTACACAAACGTCGTTTTATCTTTGTTCAACTTTCAGTAAATAACAAAGAACGACGCTCGGTGCACATGGGTGACGTTCTCGAACGCAACCTGAAATATATATATTGTACACGTTTCTATATTTATATAAAGTCTATAGCGCGATTCATTACTAGAAAGTATCACTTATCACTTTGGAGGCCACCTAAGTGACTTATAACGGCAGGTTTAATCGGTTATGGATCCATGAGGTTCACCGCGGAAGCTCGGAGATTCAATTGATATTCCCCGAAGAGCATGGCCGCTAACCATCTGTACTGCTCGTCCTTGGATGTTCCTGCCAAGATGTTACCGAAATACGGGCTATCCTTACATCTAGAAAGGTAATTAAATGTCTGTCTCGTTCTATCACGAATATTGATTTAGGATAATGAACTTTTTAAAATGTATATCTCCCATCAAGTTATAATGAATAATTAATTATCTATTGATATAAATTCTTACCTTGTAGGATTTTTGTTTTTTACGATGAATGTGACGGACCAGCTGTGACATAAGAAATACATTCTGGTAAGTATATTTTTCGAGGATCGCATTATAATCATATTAAAGTATGTAATTTTTCGTATTAGATTTTTTTACCCCATCTGTGGATTGCGTTTAGGCTCGTGTCCCAAGTACCAAACAATGTCCTCTATCTTCCACTCATGAAGTTTTACGGAGCACACCTTGTCTTTGTAACAGCAGAGCTTTGCCTGGCTGAATTCGAAGAGATAGTTCTTCAGGTTCTTCGTCTTGGTATCTGCGAACTTAAGTTCTCCGGAGATCGTCATAGGTGGCTTTACCTATATATATCACATACAGAAAAAAGATGAAGCATGATTAATGTTGATTAAACCGTATCCTGTTTTCGCAGTGCGTGCGAAACGCATCTTTCTTCCCGCTTTTGGAATCATGCAATTTGATCCATATAAAAGAGCTTGTTTTATGCCTTGAACTCACGCAGAGCTATTATAAATTTAGATCGTGAGAATTGCAGGACAGTATTTGCGTACGTATCATGTTTACGAACTTCATAAATTTTATTATGAATTTTATGCGAATTTTTTATCCGTTTCTCTATATCGTACGCACCAGAGGCACGATATCCTTGTACAATTGGTCTTTTTTCAGGATTAGGACATTATCCTTCCTATCATCCGGATCCCAGTATCCCCATCTCGCCACCACCTCCAGGACACGTTCGTTGTGATGCAACGGCCGTTCCAGCGCGCCGGATAGCGTGTATTCTTCTAGACACAACTCATGAACCGGTGAATTGGTTTTTTCAGCGAGTTCCCGGCACACGTCAAACGCAGTCTTTTGAGGCCCGATCTAATTAAATTGATTAATTAGAAATACATAAAGGAAAGGCTATATTATGTATACATAGCTAAATTTTGATTATTAGCAGGAATTCAGAAATCGTCGATAGATCCTCTTCGATTTATCCAACAAATTTTGCGAGAAATCTGAGAATGAGAAACTGTCGATTTATCAAGGAAAAAGTTGGAGGAATAAATAAGAAACAAGTGGAGAGTACTGATTAAATCGAGAAAAGATCCTTACAGTAACATTTACGCATTCCCCGTCTGGCGACAGAATGTATATCCAGATCTTCAGATCTCCTGAAGGCGCGCCTCGCAGTCCATTGTTGGACACATGATGTTTTTCCAAGACCTCCAGCATTTTTGCCTCCTTGGCCAGATCAGCGGGCGACAGTTGATAGAGTTTCGGATACAACCTGATGAGATCGCCGACGACCTTGGTCTCCGCGCGGTTCCACTCTTCGGCACTGTTTTCACCGGCGTGCATCAGGGTCGGGCCCCAAACAGCCGACAGATTCTCGGCAGTCATCAAGTTCCTGGCGTTCTGCTGACTAAGACCATGAAGGTGCGCCAGGATCCGACGAAGCGTCGCTGATGTCACAGGATTGAGCGTGGACAGTAACTTCCGGTAAGTTGCAACTCTATTTTCCTCACTGGTCGAGTCTGCAGAAACAAGTGCGGATACTGCTTTAAAGCTAACAATTTATAACAACAATTTTAAATATTTATACAATTTTCGGAGTGACACAGGATGTATTTTTACATAAACTTTTAAAAATGTTTTCTCTAACGTTAATAGCAATTTTTTTTTAATAACACTGTCTATATCGATATTCCAGATATTTTCACAACGATAAATCTGTTCTGGACAAATCTCGTTTGTTACCTGCGGTGAGGCAGAGTCGATCGTGTATTTTGGCGGGGAACAATGGATCCGGTAAGTCCCGTAGAAATCTTCTAAGAACCGTGGCAACGTCGTGTTCCGTATACGAATTCCGTGTGATTTGCGTGGCCCATGCGTCTCGTCTGAAAGCCTCCAGCAGCTTTACTACGGCACTGCTCGATCCACTGCGACGATAAATGCCTTCCGACATCATGCCTGAGAGGAATAAAGAGGTCTTGTGTGAGACACACGTTCGATTGAATTACAATAATATAACGTCGTTCAGTAATGCAATCAGAATTCTCTGGAGGAACTTAATTATCGTGCAGGACGTTTCCCAAGTGTCATTAATCTTAATGATAGCGGTGACGCGAATTTAAATTTCATTGCGGTATACTATACAGGATGTTTCGCAACTTTTGTTATCGAGAAGATAATTATACATAAAAAAAAAAATAAATCGAAAACGTGGAATATATTTTCTCTTTTCTTATACGAAGCATTTTCGAAAAGATTGATCTTAGAAATTAATAAGTTATTGACCATCAAACGGGACGCATTCTCAAACAAATTCCACAAAGTTATTATTCTCGTTCGAGGTAATTACAAGTTGATAATTCATTAATCACCATGCGCATAGATAAAATTGACGCATTTGTCCAAGATGACAGGCACATTGTCTTGCGTGATCTGCTGCTGTTCTAAGGCAGGGCCGCAGTTGGTGGCCGCCTGATAAAGCGCGTGTCGCCAAGCGGTTGCCTCGTGGGTCCCCGGTGTAGCGATGTGCAGGGCGCCGCTACTCCCTGCATCTACAACTACAATCGGAATAGCCCCGCATCCGGCAATCGGTCCTTCCTGTTCCCGCAACACTGCAATGTCATAAATCGATTAATATTTATGTTGGAATCGTAAACGTAAATAATTATTTTCCTTTGTTCATTTTCAGTACGGCAATACGAAGAAAGACTCGAATTATATCATTGCAGAATTTATCTCATAAATCACACTTTATAATTATATTTTTTCTATTTCATATATATATATATATATATATGATTTTTTTGTAATTTCTATATATATTTTATAATTAAGATTTCAAAATTCGCTTCTTATGTAAAGAGTAAAAAAATTAATGAAATTATAATTTTAACAATCCAATTTAAGCTTCCTTGATTTCTTTGATAATAATGATTCTTGAGAACGATGTATAATATTAATAACATTTATCTAAATTAGGTCATACAATATGACTAAAAGATGATTCTGTACTTTTAATCAAGCAACTTGTATTACATTGAATCATTCATTGATAAAACGACAATCAAACTCGTTTATTATCGTAATTAGGGTATCGCATCTTTCGCGTCTCAATCGCGAGATTAATTGAGTCGCAATAATTTCACTGATTAAGATTGATTTCAAGGCAAGTCCCTGATATTAATTATAAACTGAATAAATACCGATAAGTAAATGCAATAAAAATACTTTGAGATTTAACAACATAACAACGTGAATTCATTAAAGTAAAATTAATTTTTATCTTCCATATATATATTATATATATATATAATTATAAGATTATAGATTATCCATTTTTTGTATGTCGATCAATATTTACATTAGTAGTTTAATTTTTTTTTTTTTATAAAGCTTTTAGCCGTAACTTACCGATACAACGTGCTTTCCGCAAGTCCACATATTCAAAATTTATGGCGAAAGCAGGTTCGAAGGATTTTGTGTAAATCAAGGTTCTTTGTTGCAGAAGAACCCAAGCCGGGAACCACGTACCTGTTACGCCTTCCTGAAAAAATATAACAAAAACATTGTAATTGTCGCGAGGTAAAAGAAGAGAAGAGAGAGACAGAATACGTTTGACATTTTTTATTTTTGTCAATGACAAAAAAAATGTTGGACGATTACCATCCAATGAATACGAAATATCCACAACGTTCGTGAAATTGTAGAAGAAGAATTTGCGTGTCAGCATATGGGTTTTCACTGATTTCGCAAACGCGAACAGTTAGCAAGAAATGAAGTAAGTAATCGAAATTTTATTACAAACTTTCTTTTCTGCGCTAAAATGACTGTATCTTTAATTATTTTTTATTTACAACTACCGTTGTAAAAAGAACGTTGATATTAACAGTTATATTACTAAATAACGGATGAAATAAAGAGAGAGAGAGAGAGAGAGAAAGGATTTTGACATACCTTAAAAGACGGTTGAGATAGGCTTGTAAAATTATTATAATAGATTAATATAAAACTATAGCATATATAATAAACATGCACACATACAAATATGGAGATAATCAATTATAATACATAATAGAAATTTTCATGTGTATGTCCTTTTTTTATTTTTATCTAAATTTTGTTTTTTCTTTTTTTTATATTAGCATGTCTCGAATAAATTACAATTTCAATTACTTTAAATAAAAAACAAAAAGAATAAGAGAGAGATCTTTAATAAAAATATTCTTTTTTCTCTGCAAAATTTATTTATTACTTTGATTAAAGATTAACATATATAAATTCTTTACATTTTTTCAATTGTTAATTTCAATTATTAATTTTGGTTAATAAATGATTGAAATTGATTAAAATGAGTAATCAAAACGTTTCCGCATACTATTATCGAAATACAATATGATTCACTCTCGATTTTATTTTGCGATCTGACTTGATTTAACCTCCGATTATCCGGATTTTTATGGTTTTTATTCATCGTTTAATAATCGAGAGCTTTCAATATTCTTCAATTTCTGAAATCTTTTATACACGGTTTATCTTCTTTCATACATACCTTTAAATAAGCCCAACCTGCTCTAGTGAGATCGGCGGTGTATCTCGTAGGGAAGACCGGCGTGGTGGCCTCGAGGATCCTCTGTGCCCAGATCCGTCTCTCAGCGATACCTTTCGCGTAGAAAACGTGCACGTTTGGTCTGCCCGCGCCGCTAATCGCTACGCAATGCACCGTCTCGCCGTCCACGGTTCTGCACACATTTCAAAATTGCCTTCATGAAGTAATTGCGAGCGAAATAATGACGAGCTAGCCATGATCGCGCGTACGATGAGTCAAAGAGAACGTAGAGATAACGCTAACATAAAACTAAAAGAGATGATCTAGCGCCAAGTCACGCAATTAACAGCTGAGACGGATGATGTATCAGTACGCGAGCCACTTAGTTGAGAGTACCTTAGATTCTCGGATCTGGACCAATGGAATTCTTAATAGGTTTAATCAATATACAGATATACGCGTCGCTATGGCGAAAACTGCGCATTTATAAAGATCATGGATTTTTATCGGGGTTAACTCGGGAATATTTTTCCGTGGCGTGTCTTATTGCGGCAGGAGTTGATGATTGCTTGGAAAAAGCTGAATGGAAAAGAGCTGTTGATAATTCTGCGTTTCAGGAGAGTCGCACAAGGAATAATTTATCACTCGACGACGCGACCAAGGTCAGATGGTTACGCTCGAGAAAAGCTCTCTCGTGAGATCCTTTTCTTCCCGTTTAACAAAGAGGACCTTGAGACCTCTCTCGTAGATAGCGACGCCTGCGAGGGGAATGCGTGTCTGGCCGGCGTTTTAACACTTGGAGTCGGCTCGATATAAATGTATGCCGAGCGAGAATGAGTCACACATTATATTATTCGAACATAATAAGCTATCTGTGAATTGAGATTAACATCTATAATATTCGTAATCGGGAGAAAGCGTGGGATATCTCGGTTATCCTGTAGAATAAACAGATGCATTTTCGACGATAATCGGATAAAATAATTTTGTATGATAAGTCGGATTAAAAAAGTTAATTCTTGTTCTGTCAAAGAGTGCGTAGAAAAATTATCATCATCGCCGAGCATATATTGTACACTATTGTAGTGTACATATCATGTTTATAAAATAAAAAAAAAATCGCACTCACTTGACATCCTGAAGCAGATGAATACTGTGCACTGTATCCAGTTCCATGACCTCTTTTAGCGTAGACATACTCTTGTCAGTATAGAATGATAATTTCCGATCGAGTAACACTGCCGCTCTCGGCACGAGGTCCTTGGTTCTCTCGATGCCCATTCCCGGCCTCCGCAGAAAATGATGATATTTTTAATTAACACTCTGATTAATGTAGTCGCTCGATTTAAACCGACTGGTGTTATTCGATCATCAAAATTACATTAGTATTAATCGCAAACGATTATTAAAATCACATTAGAGAATCTTCTTCTTATAAATGTTTATTTAATATATTTTTCTTAATCATCTATAGAAAGATTTTGTCAATGATATCAATACAACTTTTCGCTAAATTTGAATGTTGCAAAATGTTCTAAATTAATTTTTCTAATTCTCGCAAGCACAGTGAACGGTTTGATTTGTTTGCAGAAAATCTGGGACTAGAGAGAGAGAGGCTCGTTAAATATCTCTCGTAAGTTTACGCTGCTCCTCACCTGTACACCATTCCTCTGTGTGTGACCGGATTGTGCGGAACATTGACCTTTGGCCTCTCCATTCGCAATGACCTCGAGCCGGACTCACCGATGTGCTCGCGAGTTCTGGATAACAATTTACTGCCGCTCTTCACAAAACTAATCACGTTTGGTCTGATGGCATGCACGGTGGACTCGTGTCGCAGTTTTTTCAGTTTTTGTATCACACTCACTTTACGATTCTCTTCGGCGATCCTCGGCGTGCCCGACAAAGGGCTAGTAATATTTCCCTCGACGTTACACACACTGGTAGGTGTCGTTGTCGTTGTCATCGTCATCGTCGTTGTTGTCGTCGTCGTCGTCGTTGTCACAGCCGATGAAGAAATCGAAGAATTGTCTGTAGAAGGAATCCTTATGGAAGGTTTTCTAGGAGGAACTGCAGGTTGCTTTTTAGTCACCAAGTGTGCCAGTTTCGGCAAGAGAGGCGGATTCTTACTCGACGCTTGAATCTTGTCGGGCTGTTCCATGCCTTCCGGTACGTCGTACTCGTTCTTCGGAAGAGAATCGAATCTCTTGGGTGGCTCCGGAGGTGTCGAACTGATGCCGGTGTGCATCAAATCCTCGTCCTCCTGCTCCTCTTCGGCGCTCTCGCGGAAATCGAGTGTGCTGTCGGCACTGCCGGACGAATCGTTGGTAGCCAACAAAGTCTCCAGTAGCATCAGATCATTGTTCTCGTAATTGCTGTAGACGTTCTCATCTTCGGGTATTCTCGTGAATGGATCAAACTCGAAGAGCAAGGACTTGCTACTTTGCTGCCTAGTATCCGAAGAAATTATTGTTGATTGTTGCTGGGAATCGATCTTGGACGGTGACAGATTTTCGTAGAGAGAATTTTGAACAGAAGCCTGGCTCTCGTTGGACGCGCAAGAGGTTCGATCCAACGTCGATATCTCCCTCTCGATGGATTTTTCCAAGCTTTCCTCTTCTACGCTAGATATTCTGTCCACTTCATCGACATTCTCGGCTTTAGTACTGGGCGTGGTGTCGTAGAAAGTCCAAGAGTCCGATCTCGACAGTTTCTTGGCAGAGATTTCAGATCGGTCAAGCGACAGACTTACATTGACGTCGGACAAGTTCAGGCTTTGGTCGGAATCGCTACCCTATTTAAAACGGAAGGATATAAGTGGAGATTTTTTTTTATTTATCGATTAAACGGAACAAAACTGATTTTTGTAAGCATTTCTAGATTGATAGTTGAATGTCTGAGTAGCAATATTGAAACGAGACAACAGAAATAATTCAAAAAAAGAATCATGAGAAGAAAGCAAGACCTAATTTACCTGATTTCGCGCGAAGCTGAGGAGACTGAACGACTTGGGAAAGTCCCGCTCGACCTTGTCGGACACTGTGGAGCTGAGAGTGTCGTATAGGCCGCTACTTCCCGATGTGACGGACTGCAGCTCGTCGTAGATAGACTCGTCCGGAAGTGGAGGCGGCGGATAAACCGGCGGCGGTGGGCTGTGTCTGGCGGATAAATCTTCCTCGTTTTTCACACTCTTCAGATTGCCGCTTAGCGGACTGTAGAACGAGATGCTACTAAAGATGTCATCGGTCGGCATCGACACGCATCTGTCCTCGACCGGATCCTTAAGCTTCTTCTGGACGCTATCTTGGCTGACTACATCGTCCTGATTCAGGGACGACAGTCGTCGTGTCAGGAGATTCTTCACCGATCTCTCCAACCGCATGCTGGCGTTCCGCGTGCTGGAGATGACGGCGCGTCCCTTCACCGTCATTTTCTCCGAAATCTCATCCTTCAACTGGCGCGAACTCGTGCCGAGATTGCGGAAGAACTCGTGATTGCCGCGGGTGCTCTCGCCGGCCGAGCCGCTGGTCGACCTTTGATCGTCGCTCTTCTCGGATTGACCGGACTCGCTGGTCGGGCTGCTGGAACGCGCCATCGGCGAAGTGATCGGCACCGGAATCCTCCGGGGCGCCGGTATCGGCCTGCTCTCGGTCAGGATCGATCGCGGTTTCGGTATCGGTTTCACCTCCATCGTGGAGGCCGATTCTTCCAATAGGCTCCAGTAATGTCGCTCCAGAAAGAGAGTTTCCGGTATTCTTCGATACTAACTCATTGATCCTGAGATATATGAGAGTTTCTCTAATCTTTAAGCGGTTCGAACTGATATAAATTATAACTGATATAAGCTTATCGGATAAAGGGATGATATGAGCAACCAGATGATGAAGCAAACTTTCTTCTTCTTTTTTCATTTTGTTTTATTACTCTAGTAGAACTCTAGTTCTCGTAAAAAAGAAAAGTGCTTTTCAGAGTTCAAACGAGGGAACTGGGTCTCCCCGTTTTTAACAGAGTACCGTTATTAACCGGATCTCTCGTCTATTGTTTGCTTCCAGGATTAATCAAATTGTTATTTCTCCACGCTGGACGCATGACAGAGCAAACGAGCGACGCAAACAGAAAGGAAATTATGAATTGTCCCAGAATGAGTCATTGTTCCGAAAGCCGATACCGACGCCCATAGTTTCCGGCTTCTATTCCAACTGACCGGCGAGACAGTGTCGCGTCCATCGTTCTAATATTTACGTTTTAATTCCGCACCGAAATTATATCCAATATATTGTCGCGCCTATTTGGTCTATCACCTATACTTTCCACATTTCAAATGAAGTCAGCCCGTACTATGTAGAGTGTTACGTAAAAATAGATAGATTATGGATGCATCACAAGTAGTGGTTTTGAATAAATTATGTTTAAAATACAGAGTTTTACATGTCGCTTATGTTACGTATATTATTCGTTTCTCTTTATTCGTTTCTCTAATATTTTTCTAATATTATGAATTTATTTTTTAGGGAAAAGAAGAGAGGAACGCAAAAAGTGCAGTGTACATGTGACGCGCTTGTTCCAACGAAAACCGTGAATCATATTCAACCGACGCATCAACAGATCATCAACAGCTTCTTGAATTACTTGTCAGAACTGCGGTGTAAACGATAAGAATGGCACGTTATCATTCAATAGGTTGAAACTTCCGCGAGATAAGAAGGATTTTCAGCGGAGAGCGGTGCTGAAGCAACGGACTGTTGATCGAGGTAAAACGAACAGAAGAGCTTTAATAGCGACTTAATGATCTTCGAGATGTCGAGACGAAATATTAAGCGTGAATCAATAATTCTCTAAATTTTAATTTAACGACTGGTGGCGCGCTACATTAGATATTACAACGATTTGTGACACGGTTTAGGTAGATAACAGGTTATATAATCGAATATTTTTGTCATTTGAGTTATACTATTTGAGATACATAGTTCGTTACGAAACACCTAGAAAGTATTGCAACCAATATAATTAACCGCACGTTGTGCGGGCTCTACAATGGATCTCGATAAGCGAATCGCGAATAATTTTTGCGCACACTAATTATTATATCAGAAACACTTAAACAGGTGTCTCTCATATCTCGCGGACGAGGAAACGTTTCTCCAAATATCAATATCATTATAAGCTCGATACATATCGCACCTTATTATAAATTTGAATAATTTAAAGAACCGAATTTTGCAAAAAAAAAATTTTTTTGAGCGGTACTTTAATATTGATATCAAATCGAAGCACGAATCGCGCGAATAATTTCTCTCAAAAAAAAATTTAAATTAATCAAATAATAATTATATTTAGTTATAATTATAATTCGGTCACTCGATCCTTAATGAAAGGCTGTGATCTCGTGAAAAATATTTGGAGAAATGTCTATCTTTTGCAAAAATCAAAATTTATCAATTTATAATATATCGCTAATCAAAATTAATATTGCAACGAGAATTGATAAGAGATCTATTATCATAGATAAAATGAGTGGCAAATTTTCGGAGTAGTCTTTTTAAAATCTCTAGCGGCACGATTTATATTCGTATTAATAGGTTCCTCTTCAGAATAACGCACACGACTTCTCTCCCGAGAATCACGTCAGCCGGAGGCTAGAAATCCCGCTGTTCTTCTCCGTTAGTGACGCAGGTCAGAAACTTACCTGGGTCGTTGTCGTCGTCACGGTACAGCTGTCTCTTCCTGCGCGGCCCTTCCTCTTCTCGAACAATTGCTCCCGTTCCCCTCGCAATAAGTCCACATTAACTGAGATTACTGCATTTTATTTCGTTCTTTTTATTTGTGATCGAGAATCGCGGCGCTATGCGGGTCAACGTCTGTCTCTCGATCATTCATCCACGTTTCGTCCGCGATGTGGATTCATCGCATCTCCTTTTCACCAGCACGTGACTCATTATTATTCGCGCGCTCTCATCACGTACCCTATTATACACTAGTGTCGGGTCCGCCACTTCTTAAATTTGCGCATTTATGTATGTAAAACTCGCGCATTTAAATGATGAATAAAAGTTATACGATGAAATTGGCCGTATACGTTTTTTATAAAATCGTAAGAGAAGAACCGGATATCGAATCTTCTTCGGGAATAAAAATAACCGGCAACTCTAGTGCCGATTATAAGGTCAATGTACGCTATTTAGATAGCGCTTCTTTTAGTATCAAAATCAGAACGCAGACACACGAGTTTCCCACGATAGCAGAAATTGAACGAAGCGAGAGCCTAGTACCAGCTGGCCGGGAGCCGTTGATGAATTAAAGAGACACTCGGCGCGCGTGACAGCGAGCGGAGAAAGATGCGCGCGCGCGCACGTTTGTACGCACAATGCACACACACATATACGCACCACAAGCGTCAACAGGCGACCCTAGATTTTATAGTTTGCGCGAGCGCAGTTCTCTCCTTTCTCTTCTCCTAGAGGACATATAATCGTGGACGTATTTTTCAGGATGCCCCGTGCTCTCCGGAATGCGTCGACGGGTCTGCGTCTCCGTCCGAGCGCTACGATTTTTTTTACGCACACGAAACATCGTGCCCACGGACTTACGTCGCGGCGACGTTTAAGAAGATAAAAACGACGTGCGGCGATAAGATATAAAGAGCGGCCGAGAGCGACGCGTCATCGTTCGACTCGATGGCGCAAGTCGTGCCTCTGTACTGATGCGCCTCCGCTGAGCGGAGTCCGCTGTCCGCTCTCCGCTCTCGTCGCCCACACACGAGTATCCATCGCCATCGCTCCGCTGCTTCTCTTAGTGCGAGGATAGCGGAAGAGTGGGGGAGGGGGAGGTAACGGGGAGGCCAACGCCACCGACGGCGGCATCAACTGCAGCGGCTGACGCTGCAACTGCACGTGGAATGTGTTATCCATTGAAAAACTAATCTCTGTATAATACATAGAACGTAAAAGTCCATTAATTAGAAAGTAGAATTACTCGATTGGTGGGATTGATTAATAATTAATTATATATATAAACAATCTTTCATTCAAACTAATTGTAAGATATGTATAGTCTCGTTACAAATGGCGCAAAGTAATCTAGCTTCTTTCTGATGAAACTATATAGGTTTCTTTTTTAATCTTTTTTAGGATTTATACAATTAAAATTTAACTCTGGCTGTGTATAATGCCAATCTATATCTCGAGATCAATTATTCCATCGAAATAAATGCAGTTTACGTATAATAGTTTAAGTATAATAACTATAAATAAAAAATGACTTGAATTCCAAGAATGAAAAAGCAAACAAACATAATATTTTTATTGAAGTTCTTTAAAATTGAAATATTAATTTAATAAAATGGTAGAAAATGTGGCGGGAAAATAATATCGCTCTATAAAAGATATTTTAATGAAACCTTTATTAAGATTTTTATCGTGCCAAAGACAAATAACGACTTTGGCTATACAAACAGGTAAACGTTTTCCCGCCGAGAGTCTTCCATGCAGGTGCAAGCTATATATAATATATCACTATAGGATCTTAAAGATTAATATTAAAAAGATACAATAAAATCGCACAAACAAATGTTTCGTGTTACAAATATAGGAGAATATAAAGAGGAAATGCGAATTGTATATGTGTAACAATTAAAATAATATTTCTACTCATAACGAAAATACGGGATGTATCTATTTTCTAAATGGCAGCTTATTTTGCGCCGCGATTGTATAGATATCACTGACATTTTTTTTATTACAATGTCTCATTTTAGTCGATTTCGTTAAATTAACTACATCAGAAAAAGTCGATAAAAAAATTTTTTGAATTTAATTTTTCTCTCTCGATAAATTATCATTTTTGGACGAAATGCCATCAGTTGCACCTGCACTGTCGAGCGACTTGCGCGGGTATTTCTACTATCTTAAATCACAATGGTGACGACAAGTTTAACTATTTATTCGTTAATTAGTTCCTTAAGATTGATCGTTATATAGAAGCAGGTACGCACGCACGCATGCACGCATGTGTTAGTAGCCGTATACGTAAAAACGTGTGATGAAATGCATCCAATGATAGCCGATGATCTCTTGGTGAAGGTTCAATAACGCGGAATGATTTTGCAACACAGATTTAAAAACATATATAGTAATCAGTGGAGTATAATCAATGATTTTTGGGAGAGCAATTGTAAGAGACGTTTTTCCTATTTTTTTCGCGCATCGAGATTATCTTTGTTGGCATTAAAATTATTAAGAAGGGAAAAACAAGAATATATAATGAGAAGAAAATTAAATATACGAAGGAAAATATAGTGACAAAGTGAAAAGAAAGGAAGACTAAAAAAGAGATGTGAATTGTTATATGTACAAAAGTTATATAAATATAAATTGAATATACTTTTACATCTATATATATATATAATGTTATCTGAAGAGATTGGAGGAGAATATTTACTGCAAAATTTAAACAATATTTTTGTGCAAAGGTCAAACGATTCCGTTCGAGATTATCGACGTTCATCGGTTGAGAATCACACGAGGAAATTATATTCCCGCGAGCGACTCGCTTTTATTACGATTCTCCCTATCGTCATATAAGATTAATTTATATATCGCGATCGATTTGAATCGAAACGCGTAGACCCGTAAAGAGTACCTACTTTTCCGGCGCGACGCCGAACGCTTAGGCCATAAAATCGTAAAAAAATATTCAAGCGCGCGAGTTCGCGATACGAGTACACCTGATGTGCCGAGTACCTCCGATTTTTCTTGCCTTTTCTCCTTGCTTTTTTTTTCCTTTTTTGAGTTGCGGAGGCAAAGATTGGAACGCGCGTTTACTTTCGTCGTATACTTTGCGGAAAGGAGTGAGATCGCTCGCGGTTATCTCGAGTTAGGAGTCATCGTGAATGCGTGCGGTGCGTACACTGGTCGCGTGCTTTATATTTTTCGTTTTTTTCATAAAGAGGAACGATCGACGGAATATCTACTATTATGTCGGAACACAGAGAGATAATCTTTAAACAATGCGGTCAGCCTTCGACCGATAACGCAACTTCGCTTAAAGCCTTTTCGATGAAGAGAAATCGAGCTTTATATACATACGTATATATGTTTTACATCGTCGCGATGGAAAAAGCAAATTACTTCGATGTAATTAATTTATTTTCAATTATTTCTCGCTTATTTTTATAATAAATGCGTAACAGTTATGTACAACACAAAAATACATTTTTGTTAATTTGACATATTTTTGCTAGTTATTAATTGACGATTAAGAGAAATAAAGTTTTGGCGAAGTTTATCGGGTAAAGGCTGACATAAACGGTCCAACCTCTTTTCCTCGCTTTAATTCAAATTAATAATAGGTTTCTGACACCTCGTACCAATGCATTTTGCAAAAAATGCAAATAAAATAATATATATATTCCGTCTCTATAATAAAAATGTTTAATACATCACCGAGTATATTTATGAAAAAAGAATATATGTAATAGCATATTGTTAAATTATTAAATCCGCAAAATCTATATAATCTAAATAGCTTTCTTAATGCTGTTATTATAGATTATCGTAATCTTAGCAAATGAAACAAAATATCAAGTTAAAAATTAATGTTACGATTGTAATAATAGAAATGATTTTAACCGATCACATGGATACGAGGCGTCTTGAGTCTGTTTTATAATTCGAAATCGTCGGACTACAACAATAGTCCTTCGAAATCGCTTATGACTGGAACATGTGATTTAAGAGCGCAAGATAAAGAGAGAGATAGAGAGAGACAGTGACATAGAAAGTGTAAGAGATTAGTCCAAGGAAAAAATTTTTAGGCACACTCACACACATACACGTACATTTATATAATTATATATTTGTGTGTATATATATTATGCGTAGAGCGCAAGAGTCTTTATTCTTTGGCAAGCAAAACGCGGCTTCGCACTTCTCTTTTTATTCGAATTTCTGCCAGAGTCAGCAAGGGTGATGTGACTCGATTTTAATTTTAATCCGTTGCGCTTGAGTGTCAAGTTTGCGGTGGCAAAAAATTAGAAACATTAATTAGGGATAAGAATGCCGAAATATTAATCAATATAAATATATAATACGTGAAAAATAAAGAATCTGATTTAAATATCTCTGAGATATTTTGCTGTCTTTTAAATAATTTTTAACATTATTATCTTAATTTATCACTACACAAAATTATTTACGCTCTTAATTATGATTGAGACTCAAAAATAAAACTTAACATTTGAGAAAAGATGATGTTAAAGAAACGCAAATAATTGATTCGCAAGAATTTCACATCCATCTTCATTCGATTTTGATTGGATTTTGACAATGTCGATTTTCTAATCGCTTTGTACTCGTTCAACCGATCAATATTTTGCGCAGGAAAGTTCTCGGATTTCGAACATTCAGATCACTCGTGCTTGTGTAACGCCAGCTTTGTTCGTGTAGACGGACTCTTAAATTGCTCATTTCTCTTTGTTCTTCGTACGTTTTTTTTTTTCGCGCGGTGTCAATTAATTATAATGTAATCGTTACGTCATAATTCAATAGCAAATATATTATCACATTTAGATTGTATTAATTTTTAAGACGACCGGCCGGACGTTTTACGACGAATTTTTCGTCGCTTCGCAACTTTCGCGTCGAATGAGAAAGCTTATTAATGCCCAATCATTTTTTACGTACATATTTAATTTTTTCTATAATACAAAATAAAGAAAAGAATACAATAACTATAATCATTTGTGAATAAAAATAAATACACGATACAAACAATCAATAAAATTTTTTCTAGTTAAAAAAAAATGTTATATACATTTGAGAGAATCTCTTTAGATATAGAATAGAGAGAATACTTTTTTTCTTAAGTATCTCAGTTTTATAAATATCTTCCGTTAAATATGAAGTGCAATTGCACTTGTCATTTGGCATGAGGATAATCTTGAAATTTCCAGTTCTCTCACAATGTTTTACTTTCAAGTGCCACCAATTCCGCATCATTGTCGCTTAAAGGTTAATATCTCTGTATTGAAACATTTAACCCTCTTCATTCTTTATCCTCTCTCGTTACCATCGATAAGATCTCGCGATGACGTAAATAACTGACTTTGTTTCGCAGATTCCAGCTTATTGAGCGTCTCAATTCGCGTTTACTCGAGCGCGATAAACGACGACGATGTTCGTCGTATAAACACGTCCGTCCGAATTATTAGATTTAAATCTAAGAAACATTAATATAGAATATATTATCGTGTAGTTTATATATAAGGTATACGTTAAGACACTTACTGCTACAGCAAAAATTCAACAGTTAAAAGATTGTAACAACTAGTTCACGCTCGCGACGGACACGAAAGCGAAACCCTTGTTCAGTTGTGCTCTCTCTCTGCCCTCACTACGACAAAATAAAAAAATTAATATCTTAAAATAAAAAATTATTTAAGTAAGAGCTTTTGAACGTTGCAAGTTAAAAATTTTGGGCTCTTTATTCATAGTAAAACTGTTATTTTTTTAATAAACTTTCATTCAGCTTCCTTACAAAAAAAAAAGAGAAAATTTCTGTTCCGTGTGATGGTCAATATTTTTTACTTATAAGATTTGAAAGCTCTTAGATGTAACTGTTAATTCTAAGATATTAGTTTTTTTTTTATTTTAGTGATGGAAGGAGAGAGGCCAACTGAATAAGGCTGGAAGCGGACGATCAGGCTCAAGTCCCTCGACATTCGCAGACTGTCGCGAAACTTGCGATTATCATCGAATTTTCGGGACCTTCGAGAAAGGGAAAGATTGAAGAAACGAGGCGTAGCAAAGCTTGCTTAAAAAATTTGAAAAATCAAAATAAAGTTTCGAGATTATATTTTTACGTAGTGAAAATTATACTTATTTTTTTTATATTTGTTATACCATATATTCTCTGATAAAAATGCTTAGTACCTAAAGACACATTCTTCTCCCTTTCTTAATAGATGAATTAAACGAAGGTCAAAAATTCGATGTAGATTGCGACAAGTTGTGTTTCTCGATTTTCCGAAAACGACGAAAGACTTATTGGTCGCGCGTTTCGCGTCCGAAGCAGCTTCCCACACTTCGCGTATCTCTTTTTCTTTCGTAAAACATCGTTCGTTCCCTTGTAATCGGGGTTACTTTGGCACGCATTTATTTTCTTTCTCTTCGTAATGTCGGCACACGGTGTCGACCGTTGCTTATCAGTTATGAGCTCGTAATATAATAATGCGAATAAATCTGTCGGTCGGCAACCTGAGACTGATTCGCGCGGACGATACGATAAAATGAGGTGTCCTTGTTATTGTTACTTCCTCGGGGAAAACTACGTTTTCGCGAACTGTACGAGAGACGCCGAGAAAAAAGGCATGTCGAAATTCCGCGCCGGTTTCTGAGCCGTTTCTTCAACATTTTTTCTCTCCTTCCTCATCTCATTACGTATAGATTTCCTCACTTGTATGACAACGAATGAAACTCTCGATTTTTAGTTGAAATGAAAGATAAGTAAAGTGATGGAAGTAAATGCTAACGGCGGACGGAGCCAGTCGCGCTATAATCGCGGACGTGTAAATTAACGAGTAAATCTCTTTCGTTATGGTAGGTTTATGTAAACCACATCGCGATACTATTACTCGTCATACAAATATTTCGAATATGAAAATTGCATTGGATGCATATCTTGGAAATGACGTGTAGATGTGCGCGGAAGAGAAATGGAGAAAGTAAGTTGTCCTCTGGTGCGCTTTATGTAAAATTATCCATATAAAAAGTCGCGTTAAAGAGGATCATAGTGGACTATTGCACCGATAAACGCGCGTGTTTTACGAATATAAAATATATCATTCCGATACACGATATATATCACAAAAGCAAAAAAGTGTATATAGCGGTATATAACTCACGATTCTCTTGGCACGGATGCGAATGAACTATGCGCACACTCGGTACATGTCAAACCTTTCGCTTTCGGGTGCGAATGAATCTACATCCTTATTATAATCTGTGCAATAAATGTTTTTTAGCAACTTCCACGCATAATTTCGGCTACTATAGTGTAATCATCTGTATATATATATGTATATATACCTAAAAGATAAAATAGATAATTTAATATTTAATTTGTATATGTAATTATATGTAATATAATATTAATTAAAATCTAAATCACACATTCGCTCGTAATTGTGGCTTCCAATTACTTGCTACTTGGCACGGAATGAGTCATGTTACTCGCAATATTTCTAGCGAAGATAATACAGACTATAACAATAATTAGAGTTTCGCAAATTAAATGAGTCATGAAAAAAATGTAGCAACGAGATAACGATAAACTTTGAAAAAAAGTTTGCTCAATATTCGACGGAATTCGAACACATTATGCGTTTGAAAAAAAAACGGTCGATATATAAATGTGAAAATGTACTGGAATGAAATTTATTCTTTATGCCGTGCAGCTTCGACTTTGCATTCTTCGTATACCTCGTAGTAGTTTAGCGTAATATAGTAATGACGAGAATATCATTCTCGACGACACGTCGGATCATCGTGTCATGGTGCACGAAGCATTTCGCGCCACACACCGTTAAAAATTGTTTATCGACTACAACGTATATTTGTATGGTACATTAAAAATTGACACATATCTTCGTTATAATAAGTTTTGTCCGTTTTCTCTTCCTTGCGCGAACAAGCAATCGTCGAAGACGATCGTAGATTCTAAAGAGAGAAACGCACTTGTACCGATAGCGAGCGAACGCACATCCAACGTTTGGATTTTGCAAAAAGTGACAATTACGTGTACAGCTTTCTTTCTATAAATTACTATATGAGGACAGATGGGCTCTTCAACATGGCTTTTTAAATGTATGAATCTCTGGATTTATAAATCTATCTCTGAATTAAATATTCATAAATAGATGTAATAAAGACGATTTTTATGTCACCATTGTTTGCAAAATGAAACGCGGGCTTTTTCTCGCATGATCTGTCATTATAATACTTCGTAATTATATTAGCGTATCGTTATCGCATTTTTTTAAATTCGTAATAGTACTAATAAAAACGATAACGGCAACCCAAGCAACGATAACAACGTGTTCGTATTAACAAGTACTTAACGATCACTTATAGCATGGCGATTTGTGCAGCGAGAGCGAACTATAATCTAGATACGTAACGTTAAAACGAATCTTCATAAAATAGCACCTTTCCATCCCGGCCGGGGTCCTCGCGACATGCCGCGTGTCGTGACTCGATGCTTTTATTGATCTCATTAACCGTTGGCCTGATTCAATCGAGTCTCGTACGTCCGTTCCGATGTGCACTCGAGTATTACAAGCTACCGTTCGAATTTGTCAATCGTCGTGTTTGTCTCTACATATATACACAGAAAAACTTTGTTCAACAAATAAAATTTTTAAATTAAAATTATATTCAATAGACTACAAAGAATCGAGACTAAAATAGACTTTAATAAAATAAAATTAGAGGGTTTCCAGAATTAAAATTATACTTATAATAAGCTATAATCTGAAAATTAAAATTAATATTGAAATCGGAATCGAGTTCATAGTTGACGCAAAATGGTTAATGAGAAGCAATAAAACGTCACGACATTTAACAAACGAGAATCCTCGGAACAGTACAGAGTTGCAGTCTTAAACTTCGCTGAATTGCAATTTCTTCTGCCTCTTTTTTTTTTTATTTTTTTAGTCACGGCAGTCAGTGCGGAAGAACGTAAAAGACGATCAACGTCACGTCTCGCCGTGAATTCGTTTCTACTTTCAGTCTTTCTCCGTGTGATCCAGTCTACGATTCTAGCACCATCATGCAGCTTTCCCCGTTCGTCATCATCGATCGAACGGGTGGATAGCCGATCGTTATACTTTGTTGGATCGGCTACGCGATATAACACCTGGACGTTTACATAGCTAATACAAGATCTCGTTAGAATTCAAAGATTACATTAAATTATCGATGTTCGCATGCAATAATCTATACGTTCCCTAGTGCCTAAGAGGGGAAGGCTTGCCGATGCTGATTTGGAGAACAGTCGCTTTCCGTCAAATCTTTTGCACTTGATCGACAACATTTCTCAGTTTGCAATTCCTCAAGTTACCTTAGCTGTTTACTCTTTTTACTTTATCTCTCCAGACTTAATTTTCGCCCAGTTGCGATTCTTTTTCGACTGTCTATCGAATTCAGCATTTGTGAACAAGCTTTCCCTGTGAATTCTAATATCTAGATCGCAGTATTGACAAAATGAGGACGTATAAAGAGCCTGTAGGTCGTAGTTCTCTTCCTCCGCGAATCTCCCGACCGGGCTGCTGTTCTCCTCGTTTCCCGGGGGCATCTTCGCTAGTTAGTCGCATCCGGATTCGAGGACGGCGAGGACGCTGGACTCTGCGCCGGATCGACGCTCTCGGCGTCTCTCGAAGAGGCCAGCAGCGAAGGGGTTATCAACATGCCACGTGGGCTGAAGGTGTCGCAGTAGAGGTTCTCCTTCTTGTGTACTCGTCGTACGTGGCTGCGCAGATTGTCGCGACGCGCACTCCGGTAAGCGCAGTGCGGACACAAATGCGGCTTCTCGCCCGTATGCATGCGCCGATGCTGTATCAGCTGTAAGAGCGAGAGCAAAGAGGAGTGGGATAATTAACGTATCATCAAAGATGATTAATGTATCTTTAACCTTTGCTCTCTCAATCTTTAACTTTTTAGTTTTTTATTTTAACTTTTGCCGACCACGTATGACAGATACATCTAATTAAGATTAACTGTCTGTAGTGAAAGCGAGTAATATTTTTAAATGAATATATAGTGTCGATCAAAATTTTTCGTTCATTAATCGATTCGATCAATATTGTCAGATACTAATTTTGGTGTGACACATTTTAGAATGGAACGTATCTTACGCTTCATTTTACGTACTTTTTTCAATTGCACCGTGCGAAAGATGCAGATGTCACAGCAAAAGTACCGGTCATCGCGATGCCTCCGCATATGCCTGCTGAGATCGACCTCGGAAGATCGGTCGGCGCCGCAAACGGCACAGCTCACCCTTGTCTCCGGCGCGGTGCCCCTCGCGTGCGCCCGCAGGTGTCTCTGGAACGCCTTCTCGATCGTGCACGCGTACGAGCACAGCGAGCATCGATACTCCTCTCTCTCGTATCTAAGTGCATTGCGAAACGAAAGATGATGTAAAACGATATTACATGAACGCATTTCTCTCTTTTCTATTCCATTTATTCCATTGCAAATTTTATTTCGCAATATCAAATTAAAAAATTCCAGAAGGGATATAGGATATGTAAAATTGTTCGAGTACCTATACCTGACGCGTTGCAATGCCAGCGAGCGCTTCTTTCCCGTGGGAGTCATCCCCTGGGCCACATGCGCCGCCACGTGGGTCTCCATCTCGCATCTGCTGCTCGTCGTGAAGTCGCAGCCCGTGGACGGACACCTCTTGGTCTCGCCAGTCTCCGTGCCGGACAGTGCTGGATGGCAATCGGCTATGTGTTTTCTCAGGGCTGGCCTCGTCGGCGCCATTACGTCGCACGAGCCGCACGAGTAGCCGCGGTGAACGCTACTCACATTTGGGCTGCTGCCTCTCGATCTTGATTAAATCGTATATCATTACTGATAATCGTTGTATTACAATGTATGTTGTAATCTAAATAAATTAACGAATTCTATATACTTTTCAGTGTAGGAAGAGTGCTCGCTCTCGGAATCGCTGTCGGAGGGAATATTGAGAACTTCCGTTGCCTCGAGTGCCGCGGTGGCGGCCGTCAGCCTGCCCAGCATCGCCGTGTAAGCGCCCAGCACCCAACCATTGAGAACTGGGGTCATCGTTCCTTCCTATAAGCAAAAAATTAATAATGAAAAAGGTATTTATTATATATTCTACAAATATATCAACAATTTGCATATAGATTTATATTATACTGAAAGAAGCTAAAAAATATATATGCCGAAAAATATATGATTAAATTCGCGACATGTATTTGAAAAGATAGTTTCACATAATCCCCGACCTTGTCGAGAGCCAAGCACGACATCGGATCAGGAAGTTTCGCAATTGACAGATTGTTGTTGGCTGATTGGTGCGAACTGTTGGTGCTACCGGTGTCGCTCTCGTCACCGGCATCTTCGTTGTCATTGTTTTCGGTTGGCACACAGGTCTGAGATCGGCAAATGTGAAGAATATAGTATTGTGTGTTTATATAATTTAGTTATAAATTATATACTATTTATGAAAATTAATTTATTGCTTGATTCCTTCATTGCTTGATGAGAGATTGATTTAAAAATAATTAGTTTCAAGTATTGTAAAATTATGATATTCATTATAACATTTATATAAAATAGTTACAACAAACCATAAAAAAGGAAAATAATGTGTAATAATAAAAGAAACTTACCTGATTTTCGTTCTGATCGGTTTTTTCGATGTTGCCTTCGTTGTCGTCGCGTTGCTGAAAATCCTCGTCTTCGGCGTTCGTACTCTTCTCACCGTCCTCGGCATCCTCTGCATTGGTGGAGGCAACCGATGCTGGTTTCGTGACCAGCTCCATAGGGACGTAGGGCGGCCCCGCCGCCGTCAGCGGCAGCGGCAGCATATCGGGCCGATGAAGGGCGCTCAGAGCGAAGGCGGCCCTCGGTAAAATCTGCGTGGCACCGGGAGGCAGAATCGGATGCCTTCGGGCGAGACGCGGGTCACCCCAAAGTTCACCCGCGACGTGAAGACTCCAGATCCCATATTCCATCTGAAATTTGAATTTGGCTCTCGATAGGCTCGATTCGGTGTATAAAATAAGTGATCCGGAACTGTTTTTCACAGTGAGTGAAAGAGAGATCATTTGCGTATCTTATTTTGGGGAAAGATATAATTCTTCACACAATTTTTCCCAAAAAATTTCTCATACAAAGTGCTTTGTTTAATAATAAATAAAATAATTTATTCCGCTGAAAACACTATGTAATATACTTTTCTTTCTTATAGAATTATTTAAAACAATGGAATATGCAAATATATTTATAGTTTGTAATTACTTTTATCTCGATAAAATTGAGCATCAATTCAGGGATTTATAATAAAAATGATACAGATTTGATACAAGTTCATAAAAAGAATGCTCTTTGAATACATAATCTTATTTTCGAAATAAACCTGTGATGGATTTTATCTTACAAAATTAGTTTTATATCTGATATACTTATATCATTATATATATTTAAGTATTTGTTAGATATATTATGTTGATGCGCATGTTATTAACAATGATTATGCGTGCTGGATTTGAAAATAGAATTAGAGAAATACCTCGAAGAGATTGAATCGCACTTGGAAACGGTGCTCATTATGTTTGTATGGACCGCACGGTGTAAAAAGAGTAAGGGTAGGAAGAGGGACGAGAAGAGATTAGTAGTGGTCTTCGAATCAATACTTACGTACAATTTTCAAGCCAACCGAGTATTTGTTATAATTGTTATTTATATGTAATATTATATTCATTAAGTTGTGCATACTTAATTAAGCCATTAAACAGTGTTTAGACATCTTCGAAGCTTGATTCTATTTGTGTATTTAATGATTAGTTAATATGTTGTTAAATATTTTTTAAAAAGAAAATATTTATAATTATTCTATCGTATTTTTCTTTCAAATATTCTTGAATTCGCTCGTTATATCAAGTATTCCAGAAACATCTAGAGAAGAGTCGAGCAATATATGCGGTAGCGCATAAGTAATCTGATCCCGGAGTTGCGCGAGATCAAACATCTTAAAGCGTGCTTGCGGTAGAAATACAGAGAAAGATATTATACGATGAAAAAATATCTCTTTGTAAATTGAATTTCTATTTCTGTCTTTTAGCTTCTTTCCGTTTTCGATTCGTCCGCATGCGAGTCGGAATGTTCTGTGTCATTAAAATCAGCTTCCTCTGAACTGTAAAATATTTTGTTTTACGTTTTTCTGCGCTCGTTTCATCGATTAGAGAATATTATTACATCTATTACACCCACTACATTACTCTTGCCAAATGATTTCTATTCGAGATGTTGCAATTTACATTCGAATTCGATTACACTCGAATGCAATGATATCTCGCGATTTGAGAACGCTATCCTTCTCTATGGATCATTTTACAATCATCATAAGACTTATCAATCGGACAAAGTCAGAGATGCAGGTTTTATACAGAAGAATTAAATATATATTTAACGCAGGGTGCATTTCATAACTCTTTCACCATAATTCTATATAATCCATATAATATCAATTATAAGATTAAATAGAAGGTGATATCTGATTGAGATATTTCGAAATGTTCCAAGAAAATATCCATAGCTATTTTATTCCGATTTCGATGGGAAATTAAACCACGTAGTTGTCCATGTATACTTAGTACAAATTTAAGAAAGAAATCATCCCTCCACGTTAACTCGAGATATTTGATTTGAAGAAAAATTGTCTCGATATTCTATTTTGTTTATATATATTTTGTTTTATATAAAATATTTTTATTAATTTCTTATAATTTTTTTCAAAAGTTATATACGTATATATTCTATATATCAAAAGTTATTGATAACATTGCACAACAAATATTATTAAATATTGAAAGAAGAAGAAAAAGAAAGTATTCAAACAAAGTAAATGCTTCTATATATCAAAAGTTATATATATATATATATATATTTTTTTTTTTCTAAATCATCAAATGAATGAAAGAGAGACATTTTATTCCTCGGAAATATTGAAATCCTATCGAGTTGTGGCTCCGATTTAATATGTTTAGTTAAACAAAAATCTTGATTTATTAAAATTATTCTGAATAATTCGAGGAACGGATGGAGGAGATCTCTTTCCTCACGAACGTGAAGCTCAAAAGAGTCGCTATCATTTTCAGATCGGCGATGCACGAAGATCGAATAATCGAGAGAGAGAGAGAGAGAGAGAGAGAGAGAGAAAATTACTACAAGAGACGATTGCTCGAAAATCGTAAGAAATCGGGGGTCCCTTGGGGGCGCCCCTGTAGTGGCCTACCGCAACAATTCGGGCCGATCGTCATTACGCTGGAATCATCCCCCGCCAGTGCCCCCTCTTGTTGCCCCAAGGCCGGGCCGATCTCCACCTTACCGATCGACCGGAAGTTCACGCGCGTCGCGGCTTAGCGCCGCCTCCCCCGCCACACTCATGACGACGTCGACGACGACGACGATGAAGATAACGATGTGATAGAAGACGACGACGACGATAATGCGATAAAGGACGTGACGTCGCCGCGATTCGCGAATACCGGAGTCAAGGAGAAACGAGTACCGGGTCCGGATACGTGCCGCCGTAGAACGAACGAACTCGCGAGATTCCTGACCATTGGACCGACCCTCGTGCATGCATACTTTAGCATAACGTTCTCTATACAATATCCAGAAA